AAAAAAAAAAAAAAAAAAAAAAAAAAAAAAAAAAAAAAAAAAAAAGTGTAAGAGAATCCAAATTTGTGTCAACATGATATATTGATTTATATTAGCTTACGTAAATTAGGTAAGCACAAAAATAATTTTAATTTTCGCGAGTTGGTTGAATTTGCATATAAAAAAAAAAAAAAAGACGAAAAATTCCGGTCGTTATCGTGTATACACATGGTGAAACACTTGTTGATATTTACAACCCCGAAAAACGAATCGATAAAATTTACTCGGTCCACACGGGGCCAAGATTAAAACGTCAAATTGGAAAACGTATTACCCGAGTGTGAATTATTTCCGCCATTGCGATTTTTCGATTAGCGTGCCAATTGCGATTTGGAATGATTTTGCATCGGTAACGCGCTTATTTACCCTGCGTGTTGTTTCATGACCACGCGTGGGTTTAATTGACCATTGATTACGTTGTATAGATTTTAAGGTGTGAAAATGAAAATATCGTCAACATCGTTAAATGAAGATAGGGAAGTAATAATTACGTGTGCAAAAAACAACGTCGTGGCGATCAGCTTTGAACGAGCCTTCAATCATCAGTGGGTACTTGTATTCGTACGCACCTACGTCTCCACAATAGCTATCTCCATATCCCCTCGTCGTGTCTATTTTTTTGTTATTGTTCACTTACGCGGCAACAAGTACACGAGCATCGCTATGTGTGCATTCGGAGGTACAGCCGCGATAAACCGCACCCCCTTTTCCCAACAAGAACAACACAATGCAACACACCGTTAGCTATACAACGAGTCCGTTATTCAACGATTGCACACGAGCCGGCATTCATTCCCCGGGGAACGGTGGTGCTGGTCGTATACTCACAGAAAGAAAGTAGAGCAAGTTACGCGCGGGAAAATATTACGCGACTCGTTTCGTGGCTCGTAAATATTATGGCGTTTGCGCGTGCACACCCATTCGAGGTGTATACGTATAGGATGGTCGCAAGGAAAAATCAACACGAAAAGACAAAGTGACATCGTGACTTGGGAATGGGGGGGGGGACAAAGAGAGTCCATTCGTTTCGTTGGGCGGGTGGAAAAAAAAGGGGTGGAGGTCGGATCGAATCGTCGCGGATGGAAATTCAAACAGAGAACGTCCGGACTTTGGAAACTTTGATTAAAACTCTTTTCACCGGTATTATGAGGAGCTTAGCGGGTTTTTTTAAGCAGCCGCGCTTTTCTCGTTATACGGTGGCTCTCGATTGGGGGAGAAATGATCGTCGGACGTTCTTCTCGAATTTTTTTTTCTTCTTTTTCTTTGAACAAAATGTGTATTGTTGGATTTTTCGATTAGAGATGAAATTTTTTTGTTTGTTTTCTCTCAAGTGTATTTGGGATTCCGTTAGGTAACTTTATCCTGGTTCACGTAACTGTAATGGAAAATCCAAGTGTATTCAAGTTGCGTTTTTTTTGGATAAAAAGTATACGTAACAATATACGAAGCAGTGCTGTTAAAATGCAAGCGTTTAAAAAGCAAGTAAATTTATGCTACATCAACTATTACGTATGAAATTTAAAAAATTCGGATGAAAACAATAAAAAAGTGTTGTGTCATGTTTTACGGACAATGCAAGCGCGTTGGCATGTTTTACGTTCTGCGCTAATTATAAAGTAATTTGTTTTCGCGTATCTGGTTCAATAATTTATCATCCGTTAAACTAATTAATTCGTCAATTATTGATTATTATACGTATTGATTTTTCATAATTTTATTTACCGTTTTTATCATAATTGTTAAATTATTGCCGTATATTGATCTACATGTAAAAAAAAACTTAATGGTTCATTGACTATTTAACCGCCATTGACTATTTAACCGCCTCCATTAAGCCGAACGATATATTTTTTTGGCCACAGGGAGGCCATAAAATGTTAAACACTTATATTGGGGCGTTTTACGTCTTATATATATATATATCCTCTTTTCCGATTGATTATTTCCGTTTTAAAATTGTACGGTTCGATAATAGTCGATAACACATTTTTTTCATCAATTAATCATTAATATCATCGTGATGATTTATTTTGTAATAATTCTGCCTTTTTTTCAATACACGTTATTTATTTGAAAAATAATGGGGCGAAAAGGGGGATACTTTGACGTTCGAATGCGCAGTTGTATGAAAAAGTGGCCCGTTTTTTGTGTACCCGTGGGTATATAATACACTTTTTCCTGGACGAGAATGTCAATAACACGGACGAGAAAATAAGTCATAATTTAAAAGCAGAGGAGGAGGAGAAACCGAGGGATATCCAATTACACGGCGTCTCTTCAAAGATGACGCGGGGATATCGGCTCGCAACTAATGCGCCTTTTTAAATATTCAACCCTCGACAGCTGCAGGGCTCTCCCGTTGCATTATGCGCGCGTGCATTATTTAAACTTTTTCCCGGTCTCTATTCCCTTTTTTTTTTCTCCGTTCCATGCTGAAAAATATCAATTTGCCCGTATTTTTTATTTTCGAGGGTAACGAGTTCTCCTTTCGTTCGTGACTCCTTCGAGTATATTTTTCGAACAGTACAAGTGATTTATCTTTTTTTTTTTAATTTTCTATTATTAACGGTCGATTTATTAGAAGAGTAATTTTTTTCTACAGAAAATACCTTTTTCCTCCATGTAGAAAGGGCAATTTATTTTCGCGGAAAATCAGGCGGCTAACTAGTTAATTTGCCTCGAGATTGAGATCGTAAAATGTCGTCCGTCAAGATGAGTAACGAGGTTGATCTTACCAATCTCCTAATGATTAATTAAAAAACTCTCTCGAGTAATGAATAGAAAAAAAAAAAAAAAAAAAAAAAAAACTATCACTGATCAAATCATTTTAGGTGCTAGATTGCTAATTATAATGGAGGATATATTTCAGTTATGAAAGCCATTAAAGTACGTTCATTCAATCGCGTGATTATTATTATTATTTTTTTTTTTCCTATATTGACGTATGATATTTATTGAATGTAAACAATAAAAATGTATTTATTTATTTTGATTGCCAATGATACGACCGTGCAAAGTTATAATCCCAAACCACCGAATGTGAATGGATTATCCCTCGTGGCTTTTTCCAAAAGTTCAATGCATGAGAACTACTTTTTTTACAACTGCCATAATCTTTTGCAACGCCATAATCTCGTGCAGACTCTTGGGAAAAAAGGCAGAGTGTTGGTCAAGCAAAGCTACAAATACTGACAGGTGAAATGCATTCGTATGTAAACAAAAGCCCATAAACGCCCCTTAAAAAAAAAGTCCACTATACTGTGGACCATTGAAGCAACCTAATGGCTCGAAAGCGCCGATCACAACGACGGCAATGAAAACGCAAACAGTAAAAAACATCAACGCGTGCACTCCATACCTGTCTGTAGGTGTCTTCGATGGTCGGTACGTAAGACTCGCGAAAGGTGCCCTTGACGAAGCGCAGCACGAGCGAGCTCTTACCGACGCCCCCGGCGCCAAACACCACGACCCGGTAGTCATTGCTCTGTTCCGGCATCCTAACATCTGCCGTCGCGCCGGCCTTGTTTGTCGGCCGAAGCGCCGACGATTCCCCACACCTGTTTTCTTATTCAATTTTTTCTCTTTTTTTTTTTCTCTTCAAATACTACTATGCCGTCACAAACGACTCCCGGGGATATGCTCCACTGGTCCAAACCCTCTTCGCCCACCCGAGACGCAAGTTGCCCTTTGCCCCGTGAAGAAGAAAAAAAAAAGAAAAAGAGAGCACTTGTATCGTTGTTGTATTTTTGTACTCTTATCGTTATTGTTGCTCTCCTTCGTTGACAACAGCACGGGCCGATCTTCCAACAGTGAATAATTGCACGGGTCGTAGGTGCATTGTTAATGTACAGTTGGACCGTATGGACAAGAGCGAGCTTCACTGGTCCCGACGTCGCGCCAAACGTTTACCTGTTCCACTTGTGACGAGTCGAGCGCCCTGTCCACGTGGGCTCTTGATTTTACATCACCGCTCCTCCGCGTCGCTCCATCTTCTTTGTTTTTCTTTATATGTACGTCCTCTTCCTTATCTACTCCTCCGTCGTTGGTACGTGGATAAACAAAAATACACGGAGGCGCGCGCTTTTATGGGAAACGAGAGTCAAGAAAACGAGGGGGTGTTTTATGGGTATGAGTACCGATGTGTACACATGAATTGCGTGTACTCAAGTGTCAGATGGATCCTTTTTTGCTTTGCTTCACCGTTGCACCACCATCACGTTGCAACAATAATCACGACACGCGCACAACTGTACGACGATCAGTATACATTTTATCGCTCATCGCGTGATTGGCCCGCCGTTGTTGTCCATCGCAATGAGTTCTCGGTCTCACCCTCCAAGCTCGTTGTCGTGTTCCGTTAACGTCGCGCTTGTGTGTTAAACCCCACGATACACACTTGTACAAAAAGGTTCCCCTGGGGATTCAACGTTGCAGCTGACGCTGGATGTACATCTCTTTCGTTTACTCGTCGCCTTACCCCCGTGAGTACAGCGGTGCTACCCTACATCACACTCGCGGAGCCCTGTGCGCTTGATGATATTTGTACGATTGGTGCACGCCGTAAACACCGCACCCCTGGCGAGGCAGCACGACAATCGAGAAGACCTTTCTTTTTTCTTTTTGTTTTCCGGGGTGTACCGTAACAGCGAGTTCCTTGTGGTTGTGACGGTACCAGATAGGGGGGAGGGGGGAGAAGAGAAAAAGGGGCTCGGGCTGGTCGTCGTGCCGACCGTCCGTGGGCGACGAAACAACTGATGCTGCGCCGCGCCACACTCGACGACGACCTACAATTCAACACACTGCTCTTGCCCGTCCATCTATACAACGTAACAAATACACACACATATATACGTGCCCACACCGTGTGCGTGTGTGTGTGTACGTGCCTACGCACTTACGTGCCGTTGGGGTGGTAAAGTACATACATACATGTATATACAGGGGTGGTGCGCACGGATTGGCCTTTCCCGACCGCTGCTACACTACATATATACACCTACACATTGTGTAATACTATATTATATACTCTACGATTGCTGTAGCGACTGTCTCTCTCTCTCTCTCTCTCTCTCTCTCTCTCTCTCTGGCAAAGCACGCTGTGTATATACGGTTTTTTTTTTTTTTTTTTTTACATAAGTAGCTTTGATATTTCGACATTACGCGTGTGTTACAGCCTTTACTGGGGGGGGGGGGGCTTAAACGCGAGGCCTAAAACAAGGGGGATGAATAGCATACCTACTCGGAATATTTGTACATGACAACGGTGAATGGTGTGTACGGATGATCGTGGTACGTTGTAAGTAATCCATCGTACGTACTCTATATTATCTGGTGTTGCGCTTGCATAATGTATTACATATGGGTTGTCGGTTGATACTTGCACACTTTTACGGAGGAAGAATATGACGTGTGAATTTTAATGTTGGTGTAACCGAGCGAAAGTTCGAATTTCGAGCTTATACGCGCGAACCGAGACGTTAAACTATGAACAGAGGGAGCTTGCGACGCTGCCCTTCCTCTCTCGTTCCACTATACATATATCTTATGGTAAAAGAGCACAGAAAGAGAGAGAGAGAGAGGTGAAGAGCGAAGAAAACGCGCACTTTTAAATGTGTATAGAGAAACGCTCGGACGAAAGAATAAAAAAGCTGTGCGTGGGAACGTGGAGAAAATGTGATGAAAGAGATACACCGAGTGTCTATACGTGATGTGTGTACATCGGAAAAATGAGGGTAGATTCGGGTAAAACATACACAACCGACGTACATACGAAAACGCGTGTATTTTGTATTTGGCGGGAGAGGGTTGGAAGACCATCAGAGAAAGAGCGAGTGCGCCAAAAGCGGCACGCGGCACGCCATATCAGCCGGTTTCGGAGCTTTGCTTTTGTATGTTATTGAATGTCTACAATACACATGAATAGGTATCCCTTTACCTTACACAGTACATCCTCGCGTATCTCGCTCGGAAAATCAATGTTTACAGCCTGCGTGTGTGGGGGGGGGTGTATAAGCCGCGTGATACGTGCCACACATCGCCCGGTTACGTGATTCGTCGAGCCGAGTGGCTGTAAAATAAGGCTTTCTCTCTACACAGGTACGGGATCACTGTCGACTCTCTCTGGGATTTATTTTGTTTAGCATGTACAAGCGCGAGTGAGTGAATAACAATTATATATATANGCAATAAAGAGAAAAAGTTATGCATGCAGAGCAAACATATTTCGTCTCTCTGATGCGCATCGTCAGTGAGAGAGAGAGAGGTACACTTGCGGAAGAAAAAGGCAATATCAGCAGAATCATTATACGCCCGTGTACACAATGATATATATATATGTACATCGGGTGAACATGTGGATTTTAGTGGAGAATCATTGCTCGTAAGGAATTTGTACCGGCAATCGGGGCATGTGAATGAAAATATAATTAATTGGGCACGATTCGAGAACATGAATTAATGAAGTGATACTTAATTACCATCATCACCTGTTTCCCTGTTGTAATTTTCACGTGAAAGCAACAAGTAGAACAAGGCCGGTTTAGTCAGACCGAGCGTGTCTGGCCAAACGCAGGTTTTACTACTTGTTGTCTCCAAAAGAAATAAGAGTATATATACGATACTTATTGCGTGCTGTTTAAATTGGTTATTTTCATCGTTTATTTACCTACTTAATACCGAAAAAGAAGCTTCATTGTTTTTCATATTTTTTACGATACATTATAAAAAATCGATAATCGTTACGGGATGGAAGACTTGGGATTAGAAAACGAACAGTCCAAGAAATTGTTTTTACAAACCTTTATTTATTTACTTATTTAACAACATGACGAGTGAAAATTTTCATGCAGCGGATGATAATTTTGCTCGCAAAAATGTACATTACATGCCCAGTGAGAGTATGAAAATAATAAATCTAAATATTACAAAAGATAACATCAGTTGGAGGTGGTGTAAGGATTCTTTACACCATTGTCACTACCTTCGTTCTCGATGGTGTCGTACATCCACTTGCGATTGTTCCTGAAATTAATTTATTCGTTTGTATGTTGGAAAAAAAAAATACTTTGTGTGCATTTGTCAATGGAGCGAAAATTTTAACTACAAGTATAGAAAAAGCCATGTAAAACCAATGTAAAACAATTTTTAGTATTTAGAACAATAATACTCGTTGTTTCAAGTGTCAAAATGACACAATTTGTACAAAAATATTCGATTTTTACCATACAACCAAATTTAAATAGTCATGCTCTGGAACTAATGTTATTATTTGGTAAATTTAAATTTTGAAGAGTCCAGAAAATAAGATTTTAATTTGATTGGGAGTCTCATTTACTCGATGTTTTATACAAAAGTTTACCACGAAAAAAATACTTTTCTCGTAAGCACTTACCTGGGAGGTTATGTTACCCTCTCAACCCTAAATCTTCTTGGGAGAAAAAACGTCGTATTTAAACGGAGGAAGGTAAGAAAATCGTATACGCTACACGAGATGAAAGTACGCCATAAGTACTTACTTTTGTTTCGTATGGCGTATTAATATAATGCAATGAACAGTTTACCCCTACCTAGTCTCAATTTTGCTGTGGTGAAAATATTTGTATAACAGTTACAACAAAGTAGTAACAGATTACAACACACACCTGCATTCATGGCCACATTTTGTAGAATAACATTTTGGACATGGAAAATGACAGCCGAAGCAAGATTTTTGCAAGCAATCGCACAAATCGTCTCTGGTGGGAATGTAAAGGCCTTTCTCGTCATACAGAGCTGACTTTTTGTTCCCGTGGTTTAGGCGACGATTTAATTTTCGCTTCTCTCGCTCGCTCTGCTCAGGATCAAAATTGTGCAGGAATTTCCTGGTAACTTGATCGACCGCCTTTTGTCTTGCTCCTCTCGATTTCTGCAATATTATATAATTCTATTGAATACATTATAATAAAATTTCCATTGCTAACTTTTTAAGTAAAGCAAATACAAATTGGACGCCTATTAATCAACAATTTTACTTACTCGTACTGTTGCACTGGGTGGATGATTCATCTTGTAAGGTGACTTGTCTCATACAAAATTGAAATGAAAACTTTGAAAAAAAGAAGTGTTTAGTTCTTAAATGTTCTTAGTTAAACAAAAATGTTTATGAACATCAGCTAACGGTGTCGAGACGTTGGAAAACGAGCTCTTAAAATGTGTAACCTCTCCTGCGTTTACGCAAAAGCAAAACAGAATAACTTCACTATTATTTTGAAACCTACGTCAAGATTGGTAAACTCAAATGAACAAATTTACCAAGATCGTAGGATTATTTTAGTTACAATAGTTTTTCAGTTATGGCAGCACTTTACTGCAGCTTCACACATGCACGTGACATCTCACACGTGCAGACTTGCAGACTTCTGCTACACGGCGCCCATGTGTGTTTCCATAACCTGTAAACAACACGGTGTTTAAAAAAAAAAAGACATCCAGTGGTAGAAAACATTTTATAATTTATGCCTTGATTGTTATTTTCGAATGTCGTGTTGGATGCGAATTTTATTTATTTATTTATTAGTTGATATAAAAATAACGTAGGTTATTTGAGAGTACTTAAAATGGGAAGAAAGAAAGGGCACAACTGGAAAGCGAGGAAGGTGGCTAATGTTGAAATCGACGACTCGGCCACGAAAAAGGTAATTTATTTGTTTGTTTGATAACTTTTTAAGCCAAAATTTTAACATTTCATACGTATTTTTAGATTGCAGTTAATGTTAATGTTCGGAAAGAAAAGTTTGATGACTGCAATGCCCTTGTTTTGCCCAACAAAAAAAGAGAAACTAAAAGCAAAGACAAACCAAAAAAGCTCTCTTTGAATCCGAAAAAGAAGAAAAGATTGGAAAAAGTATTGAGAGACAAAAAGAAAAAAGAAGAGGTAAGCCAAGCTTTTGTTGTGAGATGAGACACATACAAATTAAATAATTCATTACAATTTCAATGCACTAGAGAGTAAAATTATTGGATGAATTATCCAAAACTACAGTCCCTGAAGAAGAGCTACAACAATACGTCTCACTGACTACAATTCAAACCAAGGGGTTGAAAAGACATATTCAAGAAACTGAATTAGAGTCCAAAATAAGTCCTGAAGTGCTGAGCAAAAGCAACACCACAGTAGACCCAGTTGTACATTCACGAAAAGGTGTGAAGAAAAGAAGATTAACTATATTGAACAAAATTTTTAATCATCCAAACAAAGTGAAGGACCCAAACACTCTTGATATCGATGTAAGTTGTTAGTGGCACATTTTTTAAAATGGTGCATTATAAATACTTAAAATTTTATCAATTGTCGTTTATGTAGGAATCTAGTGAAGATGATGAAGATGAAGTGGAACCTGAAAAAAATGGAAATGAAATAAGTGTTGGACTGGTTGAAGAAAATAAAGCAAAAGAGAATGATGAAGCATCTAAGAGCAAAGATAAAGCAGAGGTGCAAGAATCTGATGAAAAGAGAATTACGGAGATTTCTAAAGAAAAGAAGAAATCTGAAGATCAAAAAGAGATAGAACCTTCAGAAAACAAAGATATGCCAAAAAAAAATCCAAAAGTAGTGGAAAAGAAGCCAGCCGTGTTTGTGGCTGTAGATAGAAAGCCAGAAGTTCAAGAAGCTAGAATGAAGCTTCCAATTTTGGCTGATGAGCAGTCAGTAGTGGAAGCTATAAATGAAAACCCTGTGGTCATCATCACTGGTGAAACTGGAAGTGGTGAGATGCTTTATCCATATGTCATGTATAATTCACGTCTCCACTATCATAGTAATTATTAACGTTTATTTGTCGATAATTTTTTCAAGGTAAAACTACACAAGTACCCCAATTTCTCTATGAGGCAGGCTATGCAAAAGATAAAATGATTGGTATCACAGAACCCAGAAGAGTAGCTGCCATTTCTATGAGCAAAAGAGTTGCCGAAGAAATGAATTTGACTGACAAAGAGGTGTCTTATTTGATTCGATTCGAAGGTAACACTACTCCAGAAACTAAAATCAAATTCATGACTGATGGTGTTTTGTTGAAAGAAGTTCAAAATGTAAGTACGTGACTAAAAATTTAATTGTTGCCTATTGATTTAAGATCAACTGATAAAAATCTACATTTGGTTACCGCAGGATTTTCTCTTGAAAAAGTATTCGGTCATTATTTTGGACGAGGCTCACGAACGTAGTGTATACACAGACATATTGATCGGCTTATTAACACGAATCGTGTCACTTCGTACTAAAAGAAACGAGCCTCTCAAACTGATCATTATGTCGGCTACGTTGAGAATCGAAGATTTTGTGAATAACTCTAGGCTTTTTAAAGTTAAACCCCCGATAAAAACCGTCGAGTCCAGACAGTTTCCGGTAACGATACATTTCAATAGAAAAACTAATCCAGATTACGTGAAGGAAGCGATAAGGAAAGCCGCGAAAATCCACACTCAACTCCCCGAGGGTGGAATCTTAATATTCCTAACTGGTAAGTATAGTCAGGATTGTTTCTTAACAAATGTGCATTTCTTACCAAAAACTTAATTAAAATTTTGAAAAACAAGGTCAGAAGGAAGTGAATACAGTAGTGCGACGATTGCGCAAGGCCTTTCCATACCGGGAACAGAAGTGCGATGTAGTTTCAAAAGAAAAGACAGAAAACAATGAGAAAAATAAAAACGAGAAGGACATCGCTGACAACGACGGAAATTCAGAGGACGAGTTTTTCACGAAGAACGCCAAAAATAGACGGAAAAAGATAGCCCAATTGAAGCTGCCTCAAGTCTCTCTTGACGCGTAAGTGTCCCGCATATGTACAATTAACGACACTTCCTCGATCAAGGCTAATTTTTTTTGTTCTCACTCGTTGACTGCGTCCACAGTTACTCTGCCGTACCAGACGACGGTCACGATGACCTCATTGATCTCGAAAACGAGGAAGAGGACGAGAATGACGACGAGGACGAGGATGAAGAGGATATCGACATGAGTGGCTCGTCGAATTCACAGCCTCTCTGGGTCCTTCCGCTCTACTCGCTGCTGCCCAGTTATAAACAAGCCAAAGTGAGTATTGAGCACGCTTTTCAAACTCATTCTTTTCAGACCATGGAGATACGATTGTTGAATTTAAGTTCTTAACTCTCCCCCTCCGTTGCTAAAATGCATTAATACAAAATCCAGCTGTTATACTCGCTTGGTATGATTTAAGGTGTTTGAGCCGCCCCCAGAAGGATATCGTCTGTGCGTGGTATCGACGAACGTGGCCGAAACTTCTCTAACGATTCCAAACATAAAGTATGTAGTCGATAGCGGCAAGTGTAAAACAAAAATGTACGATAAGGTAACAGGTGTAACAACCTTCATGATCACATGGGCAAGTAAAGCAGCTGCTAATCAGAGAGCTGGCAGGGCAGGCCGAATGGGACCTGGTCACTGTTATAGGTAAATGAATAAACGTCGCTATAAAATTTCAAGTGAAAAACTTTTTTATTTTTTTTTTCAATTCAATACATTGTATTTCCAAGGCTTTACTCGTCCGCGGTGTTCAATGATCAGTTCGAGGCATTCAGTGAACCGGAGATTCGCAGGAAGCCAGTCGATGATTTGCTTCTGCAGATGAAAGTCATGAATATCGATAAGGTTGTTAATTTTCCGTTCCCAACACCTCCGGGAGAAGAGCAGCTAAAAATGGCAGAAAAACGGTTGTGCGTGCTCGGGGCTCTTCAGCAAAATCACTTGAGGAAAAAAGGTTTATCCAAACTACAGACATTTAAGTACGCCAAACTCAATCATTTTAATCAATTTCATATGATTTAATTGCAGATCTCTATTGCGCCAAGATAACCGATCTGGGCAGGACCATAGCCACTTTCCCGGTTCTTCCTCGCTACGGAAAAATGCTAGCCCTATCCCAGCAGCACAATCTTCTAGCGTACACAGTGTGCATGGTCGCAGCTCTATCAGTGCAAGAACTGTTAATCGAAGCCAGCTCTTCCGAGGAAGAAGTGAAAAACAAGTGGATACAAACTCGACGTTTCTGGTCGGGCACGGGTAACAGTTTGTTTCTTGGTGACCCGATGGTTTTCATTCGAGCTGTCGGGGCTGCCGAATTCGCGTCGATAAAGGGAAAATTTTCGCAGTTCTGCCAAGAACACGGGTTGCGAGAAAAGGCTATGACTGAAATTAGAAAGCTGAGGCATCAGTTGACCAATGAAATAGTGTTGGGTGTACCTGGTTTGGATTTGAGCATCGATCCCAAGTAAATTAATTAGTGTCCTGTCGATGTATTGAGAGCTTGGAGCGTAGCTAATGAATTTTATGGAATTTCAGAATGCCACCTCCAACAGATATGGAAGCAAAATTGCTCCGTCAGATTATTCTCGCTGGTATGTCCGATCAAGTTGCTCACAAGCTTTCTCCAGAGGAAATCAAAGAGTACATTAATAACAGCGAAGGTGGTAAAACGAAATGGAAATACGCCTACAAGTAAAATAAATTTAAATTTTGAAAACTTGTTTTCTTTGCATCGCAGAGAATTTTCGTTAAATTACGTTTATTTTTATAGAACTACGGAAATGGAAGAACCTGTTTTTATGCACACGTCGTGTGTCTTGCGCAAATCAGCCCCCGAATGGGTCGTGTATCAAGAGCTGTACGAAACGACAAAAACTTACATGCGAGGCGTTACAGCCATCGAACCAGAGTGGCTGCCAAAGTTTGCACCTACTTTATGCTCACTGAGTGATCCCATGGTCGATCCTCCACCTCGGTTAGTATTTTTAGTACACTTAAAATGTTTTAGTGATGAAACGTACATTCATGATTGACTTATTATTGTAAATCTTTGTGATATTTTTTACCAGGTACGATGAAGAAACAGGAAAAGTAATGTGTCACAGAACCGGAACGTTTAGTCCCGCTGCATGGGAATTACCTGCAATTGAAATTGAATTTCCTAAAGATTTGGAGGGTATCAAGTGGTTTGCGCGCTTTTTTTTGGAAGGCAAAATTTTTCCTAAGTTGAAAAAGTATGTCAAGTCATTGATATCGACGCCAAGTAGCGTCAACAAATCATACGCAAAGTGAGAACACTCTTCAGATATTAATACACAAACTTTTTAATCCTTTTTTAGGAACTCCACAAAATTTATATTTGTGTTTCAGTTTGCTGCCACGTGTAGAAATGATTACTCAAATGCTTTTGTCTAAAGGAGTCATGTCGAGAGACAAGATGATCGAAGTTTGGAAAGAAGACTCACACTGTAAGTTTTATTGGTGCATTATAAATTTCATTGAAATATATATTTTTTCTGTATGGGTTGTATTTAATTTTTCTAGTTTTACTATCAGCGTATCAGAAATGGCTGCCGGAATCTGCACATGCAGAAGTAATGCTTATGTGGCCACCAATGTAAATAAATATGAAAATTAATAATCTGTTATTTTGCATTTTTGAATACATTTTTTAAAATGTTAAATGTTAATAAAAAAAATTTTCAATTAAAACATATTTTTGTCTTACATTATTTTGAGTTCTCAGATTTATAAGTGTCTGTTTTGAGAAGCAAAGTTATGTGCAATATTGTTTCCTCGCAATTCGTATGCTAGGTAATGCTCTTTGAAATGAATCGACAAACTTTAGGTTTTTGTAATTTGCATTATTTAATGAAAAGCTTTATACAAAAAGTAAGCAAAATCACATAATAAAACATTTGACTGTTAATCTATTAAACTAGATTAATTACATACTTAAGTCTTGGTAGGAAGTTGAATTTAAAAGGCAGTACTCGAAAGAAATAATTGTGCTAAAATCCAAGGAAACGTCTTAATCTAAATACGTGAGTCCTTGCATCATCAAAATTTTTTATGGAAATTCAATGAATACTCACAATTAATAACTGCGTGGCATGTTTTAAATTCAAAAACAAATTAGAGAGAATAAGATGATCGAAATGTCGATTAACGCTCAATGACTTATTAATCCTATTTATTTTGGCTAATTAACTTTGAAAATTGTCTGACATGCGTTTCTGTAACACTGCCAGCACATACACTTCCTTTCCCCAATACACATTACTTTTTTAGAAATCAAAAAACAATTAGGTAAATATTACCGTATGCCTACATTTGCTTGTGACAAAAATATCGTTTTCTTATAACAATGAAAAAGATTCATGGGTACTGTTCAGGAAGTTGATACTTGTATTACATTTATAATAGCTTTGGTCTGTGTACACCTAGTCAGATTTGATAGGTTTCTTATCTTTCTTCTTAATTGGATTTTTTGAACAAGTTTCATACAGAGATTTTAAGTTAAATGCTTCCGTAGTATTATCCTGGAAAATAAATACGCAAGTTTTATTAAAATGTTTGTGTGGGCCTTAACTGCAGGGTACTTACTTGGGAGAAAAGGAACTTGACTAATTTTCCATTACCATCAGCGTATGGTCTTCTTTCATACTCTTTACCGTCCTTGAATAGTATCAGAGTCGGCAGCTGCAGACTTTTACTTGAATCATTGATATTATACTTTGCTGCAACATCTGGATACCTTCCAATATCCATTTTACCAAATCTAAAGTTCTCTAAAGCATATCTAAAAGTTTTATGTGAAAATGTCTTTAATGCAAATATGATGAAAAATAATTTACTCCCATGTGTTCATGACACCTGATAAGTTATACGATTAGTGTAATTGACTCACTTGGCAGATAATTCAGAAAATGTTGGTGCAAAATTTACACATGCAGGATTCCAGGCAGTATAAAAAGCAACGAGCCAGACAACTCTAGTATCACGTTGTAGCTCTTCTTGTAAGCTACTTGCTCCTCTCAAGTACGTGACATTCTCAGGACCTTGATAAGTTGGTTCGGGAAGTAGTAGACCACATACTGAAGATAAAAGTTTATGATGAATAAAATTTATAAAATGATATCCCCAGCTTCAACTCAAATCAGTGATTAATGACTTACGCAGGAAAACCAATCCATACAAAATTCCTAAATGAATGTCCGCTTGAAACCAGAGTATCATCATCGCAACCTTGCAATATACAAAACTTGAAGAAAAATAACTTATCATATTAACACTTTGAGTTTTTCTGGCCCTTATCATAACGACAATCATCAAGAAAAATAGCGTTTCACTTTCTCTCTAAAAAAAATGAAAAGAACATTTATTAAGCAATTGGACTAATGAATCAACAATGGCTGAATTAACGTTTCTCACATCATTGAGTTCACAATCCGATTGTCCAAACAAAAAATTACAAATGTATGGTAATCTTTTGGCAATAACATAAGACAAACTTAGTAATATATTGATCAGGTAGTAAGGTCTCATGAGTTGACGAAGGTCCCTTTTTAACCACCGTATATGTTGTCGTAGTTCCATCATCTTGATTCCTTATCAAAGAATTCTCCAACATCAGATAATACGAACTATTGATCAAGTTTTGCCTCTTCCTTAACAAAGAATAATAAATTTCTTTTATTCACTTAGATTTGAAATATGAAATTTCAATTCCGTACATGACGTTTTTCATTGAAAAACAAGAGGAAACATAAGAAAGATAATTAAAATTGTATTCAAGCTATACACTAAGAATGAGTCAATCCTTTCAAAATAATCAAATCTATATCTGTAGGTTATAGACTCTTTACAACTGAATTGAATAAGCAATAAACAAAAAAGGTAGTAAATAATGTTTTCATTCACAATTTCTCAGCCACACCTGACGCCCACGCAAACGTCCTCTTTATTTTGTTTGGTGTTAACACTGTTAATGTGTTATGTCACTTACGTACAGGCGACTATTACACAATTACAATTACACTCGTCCTCCACACGCAACCACCAAACGTGGTATGCGTATTGCTAACCACTCCAGTACTTCTTATTATATTAGGGCTTAGCAGCCGCAATAGAATGTTCCATTTTTACCCGCATAATTTACTTAGTTGATATTTTTTTTTTTATTCATAGAGAATACTTAATTGGGTGTTGGTACTATATTTTAGTGTTTACCCATCACCCTCAGCTGCACGTCTGCAGTACCGTATACCCCGTACCCAGCACACGCAATATGCGGTCTGCTTCGATTGACAGTAAGTACTTAGTCAAATTTGTCAATATACAAATATGAAGAGAGAGAGAGAAAGAGAAAGACAAGCTGCGCGCGTCAGCATGTGGGCCACAACACATCACAACACTTTGTGGGGCCACACACGAGATCACCGTGGACGACTGGACAGTTGGACACCATCGTGTATCGTGTAGGGGCTGATTTTATCATTCTGGTAAAGAGAGCACGATGTAAGATATACGTGGAGTGTTATGTAGTAATTATAGTATAATTACTACTAAGTAGTGCCATATATTCGATTTTATTAAACTATAAAAGTATCTATACTTTTGGAGGTCAATTTTCGGGTAAAAGATAATTTGTAAACTTGCCGCAAGTAGCACAAACATCGTTAATTATTTATTTTGTATCTATTTCAAAAGTTGCGGCTGGTTTATAAGTGATTAAATAGCTCTAGGGCTAAACTGCCTAAAGCTCTCCTTCAGAATTTCAGAAGCAATTTTTGGCCAAAAAAATCACGACCGCTAGATGGCGCTGATCCAAATGATTATTACTACTNTCAATTATAAACCAGTCGCAACTAATCTTATAAATGCAAAATGAAAAGTAAACATTGTTTGTGCTGTTTGCGGCAAGTTTTCAATGTATCTTTTACACGAATATTGACTTCCTATATATTTATACTTTCGGGTAAAAGATAAATTGTAAACTTACCGCCAACAGTGCAAACAATGTTTACTTTTCATTTTGTATTTATAACATTAGTTGCGGCTGGTTTATAATTAATTAAATGGCTCTACTATAAGTTGTAATAATCATTTGGATCAGCGCCATCTAGCGGTCAGAATTTTTTTGGCCAAAAATTGCTTCTGAAATTCTGAAGGAGAGCTTTAGGCAGTTTAGCCTTAGAGCCATTTAATCAATTGTAAACCAGCCGCAACTTGTGATATAGTTACAAAATAAAAAGTTAACGTTGTTTTCATTGTTGGCGGCAAGTTTTTAATCTATCTTCTACCTGAATATCGACTTTCTATAAATTTATATTTTTAGAAAAAAGATAAATTGCAAATTTGCCGCAAACAGCACAAACAACGTTAACTTTTTATTATGTAACTATGTAACAAGTTGCGGCTGGTTTACAATTGATTAAATGGCTCTAAGGCTAAACTGCCTAAAGCTCTCCTTCAGAATTTCAGAAGCAATTTTTGGCCAAAAAAATTCTGACCGCTAGATGGCGCTGATCCAAATGATTATTACAACTTATAGTAGAGCCATTTAATTAATTATAAACCAGCCGCAACTAATGTTATAAATACAAAATGAAAAGTAAACATTGTTTGCACTGTTGGCGGTAAGTTTACAATTTATCTTTTACCCGAAAGTATAAATATATAGGAAGTCAATATTCGTGTAAAAGATACATTGAAAACTTGCCGCAAACAGCACAAACAATGTTTACTTTTCATTTTGCATTTATAAGATTAGTTGCGACTGGTTTATAATTGATTAAGTGGCTCTACTATAAGTATGACCAACGCAACTTAACTGCTGGCAGCATTTGCGGAATACAGCCTTTACCCACTGGGGGTGATCCCCCACTATCGGCCATGATCAGCGTCATCTGGCGTGGCTGATTTTGAATTAAAAAAGAACCCCTGCGTTTAGGTGGTACAGGTTCCGTTTACGGTCGTATTAACAACCGTCGATAAAAAAAACCTGGATTATCGGCATTTTACAATAGGTAAGTACGATACCTACTTTGTCGACTGTAATACACGCGGGCGTCTTTTACAAAGCCCTACAAAGAGCTTTCAACCAAGAGCCATTTAATCAATTATAAACTAGCCGCAATTAATAGAGTAGATATAAAATGAAAAGATAACGTTGTCTGCTTTAATAGCGGCAAGTTTACAACTTATCTTTTACCCAAAAGTATAAATATATAAGTGGTCGACATTCAGGTTAAAGATACATTGAAAACTTGCCGCAAACAGTATAAACATCATTAACTTTTCATTTTCTATCAATAAAATTAGTTGCGGCTGGTTTATAATTAGTTAAATGGCTCTACTAGAAGTAGTAATAATTATTTGGATCAGCGACATCTAGCGGTCATAATTTTTTTGGCCAAAAATTGCTTCTGAAATTCTGAAGGAGAGCTTTAGGCAGTTTAGGCTCTAGAGCCATTTAATCAATTATAAACCAGCCGCAACCTAATTTTATAGCTATAAAATAAAAAAATAACAATACATGTGTTTTTGGCGGTAAGTTACCAATCTATCTTTTACTCGAAAATTTATCTTCAAAAGTATAAATACATAAGAGGTCGATTTTTTGGTAGAAAATAGATTGTTAACTTGCCGCCAAAAACACATATATCGTTATTTTCTTATATTATAGCTTCAAAATAAGTTGCGGTTGGTTTATAATTGACTAAATGGCTCTAATCTTGATTGCTCTGATTGAGAATTTTAGGAGCCACTTTTGGCCAAAAAATAAAGACCGCTAGATGGCGCTGATCCAAATAATTATTGCTATTTACAGTAAAGTCACTTTATTAATTATAAACCAGCCGCAACAAAACTCTCAGATAGAAGACGAAAAGCGAACAGTTGACATGGGCTGTGCTATTTGCGGCAAGTGATTACTATTTGGGTGTTTAACTTTTCTAAATTGTTAATCGAGTTTGATTTATATTCATATATGAACATGTTTTCAATTCTGTTACCTCTTATCTTTTGACCATTGCCACATAAAGAAGAATTCGAGACAACTGATACTAATAAATTATTATTACTCACACAGTAGACATTATGTATGTTTAATTGATACGTTTTCCACCCCAAAATGAAAAAAAAGATTTAGTTTATCATCATCTATCAATACTTTGCAGATAATAATACAAGTATATTATAATCGGAGACTGTGTGACTGGTGTGACAGAGAGCACACAGCAAGTGTCAATGACACAGCAAACAATACAGGATACTTGTATTATATATCATTTATATCTCTTTATTTACTTCTGAAGAGATATCAATAGATTATGCTCTCTCGTGATTTATTCTAAAACTATCAGAAAATATAGCAACACAACATCGTTGCATGGGGTTTGACCAAACAAGTACCCACGAATTAATTTTTTTATCATTTCAACTGTATGTATATTATTACATATTAAACTTTGAAGAAAAAGGTTTTTGCAGTTGAAATCTCCGTTGTATCTTGCTGTTCTCATTAATATTTTTTTGCCAAAATTTGGGGAGCATTTTTGTACAAATGATTTTTTCCTTTTATTATTATTATTAACCGTTAACTAAATAACTAAAAAAGATTGTGGTCTTAACGGAAGCGTTTTATTATTTTTTACAGAAAAAAGTATTTTTCATATAGCTATGGTAATACCAGTTAAACAGTTCAGATAAATGTATAAAAATTGGAAGAATTCAAGTAACTTTGGTACACATGCATGAATTCTACTTCTTCAACATACAATAGTGATAGGAAAGTTTGAACTGGCATTCAGATAACGACGAATCATTCGTGGAGTTAAAATAAGACTTATCAACAAACATGAGATTCAAGTGAACGTGTATTCAGTAAGAAATGGTCAGTTGCCTACAAACATGGCTAGCATTAAACAATTACAATTTTTTCTCACTTTGAATCTATGGATAAATTTCCTCTGTGCATACAACAAAGAGCCTAAATTTATCCCACTTGTGGTGACTACTTGGGATTATAAAAGCGCTACAGAAGTTGGTGAGCAATAATAAAATATGAAATAAAAATTATGAAAAAATTTAATATTTATTAATAAGTTTTCATTGGATATGGTTTCAGCTTGGAAAACAATTTATGATTACAAGGAAAGCGCTATAAGCGCAATCGAGGATGGCTGTTCTCATTGTGAGAACTTTCAATGCAGAGGAACAGTCGGTTTTGGTGGAAGTCCTGACGAAAATGGTGAAACAACTTTAGATGCTATGTTAATGAATGGGTAATTTATTAATACGATAGTTTCCATTAATAAGTAAGTGATCCAAGCAGTATATGAAAATCTACATGTGAATTTTTACAGCAAAACGATGGATGTCGGAGCAATCGGTGGACTTCGCAACGTGAAAAACGCGATCTCGGTTGCCAGACACGTTTTAGAGAATACCGCCCACTCGTTTATCGTTGGTGACCTCGCCACAGAATTCGCCCTGAAAATGGGATTTAAAAACGAATCTTTACAAACCGAAACTTCACACGCAATGTGGAAACATTGGAAGGCCGACAATTGCCAACCCAACTTCTGGAAAGTAAGTTAGAACTCAGCCAAAGTAGAATGACCTTATATTTTCCTGATGGTCCCACACTGGATGATATTTTTGTAAAACTCGCAATCAAACGCTGCAATTAATATCAACAAAAAATGATTTTCAATTGACTGCATTAAAGAAAGTAGTGCCAAACCCAACTACCAGTTGCGGTCCGTACCATCCAGAGAATTGGTCATCTAACAATCATAAATACATGCACGCCAACGACGAAAATCACGACACGATCAGCATGATCGCGATCGATATGCAAGGGGGCATTGCTGCTGGCACCTCGACCAATGGAGCCAGGAATAAGATACCGGGCCGCGTTGGCGACTCGCCGATCGCAGGTGCTGGGGCTTATGCCGATCAAGAGGTCGGAGCTGCTGCTGCTACCGGTGATGGCGACATCATGATGCGCTTTTTGCCAAGGTAACACGATTCGTATACTGCCTACAGCTTGTATGCAGTTTTACCTAAAAAGCTTATCAAATAATTTATTCTGTAGTTTCCTGGCAGTAGAGCTGATGCGTCAGGGCATGGATCCAGCAGAGGCTGCCTTTGTAGCAGTTGAAAGAATAGCCAAGCACTATCCGAAATTCTCAGGTGCTGTGATAGCACTGAACAAAACGGGACAGTTTGGTGCGGCTTGTAACAATTTGCCAAATGGGTTTCCGTTTTACGCCGTCAATCGGCAACTTGGCGAGCCCACTCTTTACAATCAAAGT